AGCTCCAAGCTATCAACAAGGCTCTGAATGTGGAATTTCCCTTCACTTTAAACTTGCTGGACTATATCCATTCAATAACAAAGGATCCCTGTACTGTTCTATAACTACTAGGAACATCTGCTTATCCAGCCTCTCAGAGGCTCTCCTTTAACAAGAAAAATTAGAATGAACCTACCAGCAAGTCCCAAACAGAATAAAATAATGACAAGCCTTATGTTTTAATTAGCACAACTTTTGTCTTAATAACATTTGTGGGTGGCCATTTTCTTCTTACAAATGGAACCGTCTTTTGCTTCTTTGGCTTTGATAGAAGGATTTGTTTGGAATGTATTATTCATTGTTGATACTAAATGAATATTTTGGTTTTTTGTTTTTGTTTTGTTTTGTTTTGTTTTGTTTTGAGGCCCCCAGGGTGATCAGGGAAAGGAAAAACATTGGTCAGGAAAGGTTTGAATAATGATACTGCATTCTCTCTTTACATCTATAATTTTCATATGTCAAAAGAAATTCTAGATACATAATAACTCCCTATTGTCAGGCGGTTGAAGTATGCTAACTCAGTCTATATAATAATACAAGTTTTAGAACTAGTGGAGAGAATAAGACAGATCTGAGTCTGAATTCTGACTCCAAATTCTCACTCCATCATTTAATACCTTGGCCAAATTATTTAACTTTCTTGAATCTCATTTAATGGAGTTCATCACCTCACCTCCCTCCTAGGATTTTTGAGAGAGTTGAAAGAGATTTAGCATAGTTCCTGGCATGTTGAGGCCCTCAATGGATTGCCATTTCCCCATCCATCCCCCCGTTCCTTCTCCCTGTAGCCACATTTATGAGATGACATCACAGTTCCCTTAGTGCGATGGCCACTAGATCTCAGGGTTTCCAGATCCCTGCTGATTTAAGAATCCAACTGTGCTATTATTTATGCAAATGTCAGCTGAGGCCAGATGCCATAACAAGGATGAGTCATTTCAGAGCACTCCTTAACAGTCTGATTTTGCCTCAGAAAGAACTGAGGTGATGGTGGAGAACAGTGGGAGGGGTTGCCAGGGACTTGGGCACTGCTGATACGGGGTTCTCATGACACCAAGGGTTTTTTGTGGAGAAGTTCCAGGAAGTTTCAGGATGCCCCTAGGTGACATTAAATGGGGATTAGCAGCTTGGACTTTGACAACTGACAAAATGGGGCTTGAATCCTGATTGTTACTCACTAGCTGAGTACCCTCTCAAAGAGTCTGTTTTCTCTGAGTTCTTATGAGAATTAAATAAGGCAAAAACAGTGACTGGCACACAGTAAATGCTCAATAAAAGTCAGTTATAATCTCTCTGTCTCTGTCTCTTTCTCTCCCTACTCCCCCTGCCCCCATTTCTTCTTCTCCCACTCCATTGTGGTCAGAGTTCACCTCGCCTCTATTTGCTGATTATTGAGGTCTGCCATCCAGCAGTTGGCACATTAACAGCTATGTTGTTTTATGTACATTTACTATGTTCTCACATCTGCTGAAATGCCTACATCCCACCCATACATACCCCACTCAACATGAATTCATTGTTTGATCATTGTTTTGTGAGGCCTGTCTTCACATATTTGAAAGAAACTATGATTATTGCTCAGTCGTGTGAAACCTTACATAACTAAATAAATAGTTGTTGATTGATCATGTAGATAATCAAGAGCTTAAATAATATACTTTATTAAAAAGCCGCCTAATGTTGTACTATTATTTCAAAGTTTTATATCCTACCAAAATAATT